GAGCTGCTTCCTATGCAGTTTGCTCAAAGAAATTGGAGCAAACTGAATATGCCGGTAATTACTGACAGTCTCGTGCGCTCTACAGTTTTCGAAGACAACCAAGGTTGCCTTCTCTTGTGAATGTTCCCCAAATGTCTGCGCGCAACAAGTATTTGGCATTGAAGTACCACTTCTTCGGTCCAATATGGGGAGTCGAAGGGCATCGTGGCTAAGTATATTCCGACTCTGGAACAACGGGCCGACATTTTCACTTAGGTCTTCCGGCTCCACAGTTTGCTGTCATTCGGAAGCTCCTCATGGGATGGTAATTTACTCAGCACTTTGCTGGGGACTCTCTCCTATCGTTTCTTGCTCCAGCTTCATTTCAGCTGTAAGGGAGTGCGACGGGATACAGCTACAATTCAGCTTTACAGCTTTACAATTAGCAGGCTTATTCTAGAAAATATCAATAATGCTCACTTATTTGGAAATACAAACTTTACATCTCTTTTTAGATCGTTAGATTAATCATATGCACAATGGTATTGTCGCATGCGCATGACGTCAGTACGTGCAAACATGTAGAGAGATACATACGTAATGCACGTAGGATTCCTACACGGCTGTAGAAGCCTACGTGCAACGTACATACTAGTGCACGTAGGCTTTCTACAGCCGTGTAGGATTTGTACTTGCACGCTACAGAGGTAGTATAGTACTGTATTTGCTATAGTAAACATGACTAATCGGTCCGACAGCTTCGTAGGGCGGTACCCGTAAAAGTGATTAGTTGAAGGGGCTCCAGAGGGGAGAAGGAGGAGGGTTAAGCTAGTCTGGACAAAGGCATCTAGTTGCACATGTTTTTTGAGTTGTGGTACCCGTAAAAGTCACCAGTCAAATGCACTCCAGACGGGATTATGTACAAGTACATGTAGGTACGGTTATACATGTATGTACGGTACAGTATGTTCCTTTTCGAAGTATCTTAAAACAAGGGTAGCAATTAAAATTACGTTATCTTAAAAATAGGTGTGATGCGATTCGATGCGCGCGCACCTTGCGCGTTTTTACGGCACATCCTACTGCACGCTACGTATGTACCGTGCTGTAGCCGTGCGGTAGTCGTGTAGGATTTGTACCGCACGCTACAGAGGTAGTATAGTACTGTATTTTCTATAGTAAACATGACTAATCGGTCCTCTTTCTTCGTGGTTAGCTGCCACCCACGGAGGCTGACAAATTCGATTGATTGATGAATGATCAATCGAATCGAATCGAGTCAAATCGAATCGAATCGAATCATTCGACACAGTCGACTCACTGACTGATTTAACTATTTCGTCCATCAGGGTTCAGGCGTTCAGGCGAAATCCGGCAACCAACTCAATCACACATATGATTTAAAGGTTTGTTCTTCGGGTCATCCGGTAATAACATTCTTAGTCTTGATTCGCATTGGGCACATCGACGAACAATTGTTTTTAACAAAGTTTGTCCAGTTTGTTCTCTTGGCCTTCTCCAGAAAGAACAGAACAAGAAACCCTCTTTGTTTTCTTTGGCTTCTTCGCGAGAAAAACCTTAGTTTGGTGGCACTCCTTAGCTGCGCTGCTTCATGCAGACAGCTGCACACAATACATTTTTGACTAGGCTTCTGGGATTCTCCGCTGGAGCGCTGGAACCCAGTTCGGGCCTACTATTCAGAGCTCTTTCAGTTTGTTCTCTTTGTTCTCTCCACCTTCTCTGGAAAGAATAGAACAAAGAAACTATTCTCTGTTTTCTTTGGATTCTTCCCGAGAAAACCATGCTTCAGCGCTCGAGGCTCACAATTTGAAATCAGCCAGGGGCAAAACACTTTGGCCGCAGCTAGACTATGTAGCCCACTATCATAGAGAGCTAGGAGTATAGGTTTGCAGGCCTGTATCTGAATGGAATGTCATGGCTCCGTGATCGGAATGATACATCCAACTGGAGACAATACCGCATGGATATGGCACTGGCAGGTGCATGCTTCGAATAGGATGCAATCCGTCGGGCCAATCCCATGCATGTGGCTGGGCCAATCCAGGTGTTGGTTGCCTTTCTCCAGGTATCAAAGAGGCCCAGCAAACCAGCAGCTATACTCTTCGCATGTAGGCACTTCCCCTATTAATAGCTAGGACTTCGAACATTGTGTTTTCCAAAGGCGGTTCCTCGTGGTATCGTGCTAGGATCGGGGTGGTTTTAGGAGGAGGGCTCCAAAACAAATCCCTTGGTTGCTGGTACACCTAGTTATAAATTAATCGTCCTAAACATGATCTATTTGCTTCAGTTATTCGTTTTGTTTTGCTTTTTGAACAAATCGGAAATGGCGATTAACTGTCTCTGGAAATGGCAAATCATGACAATGTAGATTCGTTGATTCGATTCTAATCAAGCAACATGAAATCTTGGATATTTTGCTGCTGATGCGAACCTAGCTATAGTAGCGTAGGTCGGTGTTGTATACCAAATAGCTACTCCAGTACCAAATAATGAAAAATGTAGACTAGAGGTATTCTACTTTTCTGCAAAAATCAAGCGAGAGAGAAAACAGGAATTTGCAAAACACCAAATTATTCTACTCCAGACATGCTATTGCGGTCTAGACTACCTGTCGCAGTATGGTCTGCTCGCACGAGCACCCTTTCACTGTAGCAATTTTAGTGAGATCCTCTTGGCTCTTTGGTGCTCACTCCATAAGTACACATGGAACAATGGGTGATAACTTTGTCTTCCAACAGTACAGCCGGTCACTTCCCATGGCTTCCAAATTCCTATAGCCGGGGAAGCCAGTACTAAAAGTGTACTATGGAGTACTATTTTACTGTAGCATTCTTTTCACCAAGCTCTTTGTGTGGTTTTTGGATTTCACTGTTCGCATTTGTGGCGTCAAAAGCTGTCGAGAGATGTCATGTTGGGAACCCTTTAAGTAACTGGAGGCTAAGCGGTAATCACAGTCTTTCCCCCTTCCATTGGCCTTCCAATTTTCAATCCCTGGATTTTGCCGCTTGCTACCGTATGGTGGTACGTACTAGCTGAAATAAATCTGTCTACTACCATGGATCTAGCCAGAGCTACCGTACGGTAGCTGTATTGCTGTGGCCTCACGTGGGATACCCCAGAGAAAGAAGTTCCGGTTGTGGTAGGTTGCTACGAGACCAAAGATAGCTGCGCACTTGACAGCCTTCTCTCTTGCACTCTCTCCCAATTTAGATCCTGCATACACCAAGAATCCTCTCCTCACTTTACCCTCATTATCCTCATCATCTTCATTATCCAAAGCAACAGCATCATGTGTGTTACCAAACAATTCCAGACTCTCCAGACCATGTCCTTCGGCAACCTGTCCTCGTTCCAACCCGTGCCACCGGTCGGCAACAATGCTGCAGCCCTTTCAAGCGCTGCCGTCAATATCATTGTGGCGCCCCGCCAATTCGATGTTCTTTGTGGTAAATCCAAAAGATGTGTTGACCATGACGGATCTCGCCGATTTCGCACTGTCATTGAATGCCACAGAGACAGATATGAACAAGCCCTAACAAAGGTAAGCAAAACAGAGCGCAGCAGGCTCCTTCAGACAGACAGACAACCTGATCATACATCGCCTCACCGTTGTTTCTTCCTCTCTTCACCCTCTCCAGTTCGACAAGACCAGTGTCACCCGAAATATCTTTGATTCCATGAGTCAAGCTGGCTCTCGATTCCTCAAGCACAACGAAGACTTGGATGTCTGGGAAGAGATTTCTCCCATGGCAGCTCGCGACAAGATCGGCCATGCCTTGAGGTTTGCCAACAGAGTTGCTCGCCGAAGGCGTACAAAGGGTGGGGCTTCAGCTCTTGCCAAGGAGGATTCCAAGCCAGCAGCAACCACCACCAGTCAACCTCTGGTCTCGGGTGCTCAGGGACAGCTTCCCCAGTTGCCTGCTCAGATGGGGCAGCTCCCAGTCCAACCACTGTCTGCTTCGCCAGCATCTTACCTTGGCCAGTCTCAACAGCCAGCCATTCTCTCTTCCAGCTTTGCTCCCCTAAGTCGCAGCTCAGCAGACACTGAAGAACCCAGTCAGCAGCAGCACCTCCCCAAGATGCTTCTCACCATGAACGGGCCGGTGACTATATCCTCCTCGGCGTCTATTCTTCCTTCCAGCTTTGCACAACTGAACCGGGACACTGCTCATCAAACAACTTGCGAGCAACCTTCTTCAACGGCCACAAAGTTTGCCCTCCCTGCTGCTTCATTGGTTGCTGTTCCTACCCAGCTAGCCATGCATCATCTGCCATCCATCTTTTGCCCCATGAAAAACACTGAGCAGCAGCAGAGGCACATCACGATTGCTCAGGTGCAGGAACCCACCAAGGCCCTTGAAAAGTTCTCCCTTCCCTCCTCTCCCGTCACGACTCTCAACGAGTCTCTGTTCCTTCAGAATGATAGCTTCTTGGCTAGTGCGAACAACAAGAACACTGGACCAGACCAGGGTTTTCCTGTGCTAGAAGGTGACGACATGCCGTTTGATTGGGACTTTGATGCCGAGATCCTTTCGGTACTCCTCTAAAGTCAAGAATTGGCAGTTTTACTTCAGTATCATCGCAGGAGGGGACATTCATTCTCGGATAGACTTTGCTTGATAGAACCTTACATATATAGCTACATACTACCTGAAACTACTATACTAACTACTACCTGCATGCTTGCTTGCAGCATACTAGTAGAGCTACTAGGTAGATCCCTCTTTCGACTTTTCACTGCTCTGTAGTCTACTACGTGTAGGATGGGAGCGCCAAAAGAGCTGGTGGAAGTGACCGTTCTCCTTCTTTCCAAGAAATTGGTGAGTCAGCGGCCAGAGCTGCAGCTGCGGCCACCATTATCAGCGACCTCCAGTTAGTCGCAAGACGGTACCACCGTCGGACCTACCGCACCTACCCACACACTCCGCGGACGTCGACATGACAAAGCAATGACGACGGCATTCGATCTACGACGCAAGCTGAGAGAATTTGGAGTCGAGTCGAGTCGAGTCATGAGTACATTAATCCGTGACAGAAAGAAAACCAAAGATACGAAAATGAGAGACCACGTTGTTGTTGCATCAAGATGACGAAGGCTTCTTCACCATCTTCCAGAAGTGAAACTTTGGAGGAGGAACAAACTGATCGACTTCTTTAGCAGGACTTGGTACCAGTAGCTAGCAGGAAAACCAGCACCATGCGACGAAACCAGCCTTCCCAGGTGCTAGTGCTGCTGCTTTGCAGCTTGACTTCTTTGACTGCGGCATTTGTCATTCCTTCTACTACTAGAAGCACTGCGAGTCCCTCTACGGTTTCAAAGCCCTCTCTGTTGTTGTTTGCAACGGTGAGCGATGACATTGACGTCGATACTGAGATCAATGCTGCCAAGTCCATTTTGGTCACGGCAGCCGAAACCAAGGCAGAAGATTCGGATACTGTGATTGAAGCGTTGTTGAGTCTGGAGAAGCTAATGCGAAAAAAGGCGAAAGCCGAAGGAGAATCAGTGGCAGAGGACATGAAGACACAACTCAACGGAGACTGGCGACTCATCTTTACCACGGGAACGGCAGATACACAACAGAAATATGGCAAGATCAACTATTTCCCCTTGAAGGCTGTGCAAACCTTTCGCACGGTCGAGGAAGATCCCATGAAAATCACCAACGGAATCTTTGCCGGTGACTTTCCGTTGGTCAAATTCTTTGGAGAAATGGACTTTGATCTCAAAAAGAGAAAATTGGAATTCGATTTCAATCAACTGCTTGTGTTGAACTTGATTGAAATCAATCTAGGAAAGGGAGATGCGGCCAAAATTGGAGCATCCAGTGGTTTGGGATCCGAAAGCAATGTAGAGAATGTCAAGAAAGGACGACAGGCATTCTTCAACTGGATCAGTGCGGATGCACAAATTGCCACAGCACGAGGTGGTGGTGGTGGATTGGCGCTCTGGAAGCGTGTCGATTGAACATAGAAAAGTCACCTACCGTATATCTCTTGGTCATAGATCCATTTATAGCTGAATAGCTGGCTCATGCACACCTAGAACGCGGCCAGTTGTAGGTCCTTGCATTGGTCGTACATGACACCTTTGGGGGTTGGATCTTCGCAGGTGACTTTCCGCTGGTCAAATTCTTTGGAGAAATGGACTTTGATCTCAAAAAGAGAAAATTGGAATTCGATTTCAATCAACTGCTTGTGTTGAACTTGATTGAAATCAATCTAGGAAAGGGAGATGCTGCCAAAATTGGAGCATCCAGTGGTTTGGGATCCGAAAGCAATGTAGAGAATGTCAAGAAAGGACGACAGGCATTCTTCAACTGGATCTGTGCCGATGCACAAATTGCCACAGCACGAGGTGGTGGTGGTGGATTGGCGCTCTGGAAGCGTGTCGATTGAACATAGAAAAGTCACCTACCGTATATCTCTTGGTCATAGATCCATTTATAGCTGAATAGCTGGCTCATGCACACCTAGAACGCGGCCAGTTGTAGGTCCTTGCATTAGTCCAGGATGATACCTTGAGCCTCTGTTGGGTGCCCGTACCGGTACAGGTGAGCCAATGCTGATGGCGACGGTGAAAACTAGATAGGTCCATGAGTGGGTCCACAGGTGGTGACTGGCCGGGTTCGGCCCAGGCTTATGCCTTGGAGTTGGACCAGGAGTGGGTCCAGATCTTTACAGGTTTGGGTCTTGGGGCTTTTCCCAGAGTGGGGCCTGGTGCAGTTGATGTGCGGAGCCAGGAGGAGATGGACGAGGTGGATTCGATTCAACGTGGCGTGGACAGAGTCAACCATTTGTTTTTCATTTGCGTTTTTGTATGTACAATTAATTGAATTGTTAGCTAGCTGTTATATGTTTTGTCGGTCCTCATTGAGCTGGTCTTGTGTTTCCTGCTGCTGTGCTGTTCGGGACGAAGAAGATGATGGCGATGTTGGTATCAACGCGGACATGAGGGCAAAGATTGTATTCCCCGCCACTCTCATGGTTGGATGGTCCACGTAGACGACCCGCAAGGCTTCTCGAACGGCTTCATTTTGCGCCCCGACAAAGCAGCCTCGCAGCACGTCCAACATGCGACCCTTGCGCTCGGGAGGAGGCACCAATGCCTTCCATCCGGCAAATGCGTCCAGCATGCTTTCGAAGCGATCACTGTATTGTTGTCGTTGTTCGTCCAAGACACGATGCGTCCGACGACCATTGGTCCTGCGAGCCACTTGAACGCAAAAGTCTTGCAATAAGGACTGCAAAAGAAGGGATGAATTCTTTTTGCTGTGGTCATGACCTGAGGATTCCCGTATACACTGTTGCAATCCCTGTACAAACTGTGGAAAGTTCAGTGTATCGTTAATGTTGCTGTTGTCATTAGAATTGCTTGACATCATCCACTCCAGTAGTTGCTGTTGCTCCTGATTGTTTTCCATGCCCAATCTCGGAGCAATCACCTCTGACAGTACTCCAGACTGGTTCAGTTGCACCATTGGCAACAGCACATCGTGTTCGGAATCATTGTTGATTCCAGAATCATCCTCAGTGCTGTTTGGTGTTGTATCTTCGACCAAGAGTAAAAAGGCATATTGAGCCGCTTCCAGTAGTTCCTGTGACATCATGCCTGTGGTACTACTATTCTGAAGCAGCTCCAAGTCATTTTGCCTCGTCTCTTGGCACATTTTCAAAACGTAGGAAAGCCGTCGGAATATAAAGCGACCGGCCACTCTCAAGGGCAAAAGATCCTGATAGAGGACTTCAAAGGCTCGGTAGACAGCTGGTTCCAAGGGTGATGCCCGCATGCCATCCATGACAATCCGTAATCGAACCGATTTCAGCAGGGCAATGTCACGGGGAGTGTATTGTTGAAAATGTTCAATTTTGCTGTGAAACTCGGAGGAATGACGAAGTCTGTCTGTGGTATTGATGGGAGGAATATAGAGGAAGGATCCATTGTTGGGTGGTAAGGATTCTTGAATGAATTTAGTATAGTCATCATCTTCAACACGCCTTGGAGGAGTGACAGATGACAATGATGTGCCAAGTGTCTCGCCATTGGTACTACTGGGACGTGATGATGTTTCTTCGTAGTGAGTAGCAATAATAATTGTTTCATTAATGGGATTCCGTGCTGCTCCATTGATAATTGGCTCTGGTCGCTGCTGCTTCTTGCGCCTCAGCCTTCCAAAAAGAGACGCAATTCGTTGACGTGCCCTGAGGCGCAAGCCAAACAGTCGAGTGGAAGAAGTAGCTGTTGATACTGTTGGCAAGAGATGGGGCGGATGCACGGAATGTGGTCGGGCCAAGGAGCCATGAAAATGCCTTGCTCGCAAAGGAAAGGCTGACACCGATTGCAGTACAACGAACACATGTAACAGCACTAGTACGGCCTCGCCACCTGATCTCCACGCCATTGTGCTGTGTCTTGGCTCGAATGCCTGATGCCCGACAGCCTGTTGCCTTTCTTTAAAACAAGGTTTCCTCGCCGTCTGCGTTCTACGTCCAGCAGTAGAGACTGTCACTCGACTCTAGTCTACAAGTTACTGCAAGCAAGCTAGTCAAGTGTAATTGGGTTTGTAAGAATCAAGTGTGGCTGCTGTCAAAGTACAGTAGTAGTCAGCTGTTAGGTTGTCAGCAGAGAGCTGAGGTCTGACATGAAGCCAACATCATTGTTTCTTCCATTCGAAGTTCCTTGGCTGTTGATGGCCGTTCGCGATGGTGATGCGCTGATTGGCATTCTGTGAAATAAGGTTAAGGGTACCGGTACAATTGGATCTTTGCTCATTGCCATTCCCATCCTCCGAACTTATTTATTTGATGAAAGCAAGCAAGATGCATCCTCAACCAGTTACAAGTATGAAGTCGCCCTTATTGCTCCGCTATCCCACAATCATTGTCTTTGGAAACTCTGGATCAGGCAAGTCCACCTTAGCCAGAAATCTCGTGTCCAAGCATCCGGAATGGCCTCATTTGGATCTGGATACCATTGCCTGGTGTCACAAAGATGACCAATCTGTTCCGAAACGGAAACCGCACCACATTGCTACACAAGAACTGGATGAATGGATTATGGCTCAGCAACAACCTCCAGAGTTGTGGATCATGGAAGGATGTTATGCCGATCTCTTGAGCCACGTCGCTCCCAAGGCCACATTGGCCATCTACCTCAATTTGCCCATTCTCACGTGCCAAGAAAATGCCAAGGCACGGCCATGGGAACCACACAAGTACCCACATGGCAAACAAGATCAAGATGCGAATCTACCCATGCTATTGGATTGGATTGCAGACTATGAGCATCGTAGCAAAGACAGTGACTTTTCCAAGCATGCTCATCAGGCATTGTTCGATTCCTTTGACGGCAAGAAACTGGAAATCACTTCAAACTGGAGTCCTCAAGATAATAGTATTGAACAAACTCTTCTCTCGTTAAATTGATTGAGGTCACTTTCGCTCGGCATTTTCAATCAAACGGCTAAGCAAACAAAGAACCCGGAAGCTCGTGCAGGGAGGTCAGTATCAAAACCTACCTGTGTGAAAATCACAAAGAGCTTTTAAAAAATTTGCAGTGCAAGCGCTACCACCGACGCAGAAAGCAAATTGCCCTGGTAAATTTGTTTCTCAGGTGTGCTGCTGAGCATTGCTGTAGCGTCAAACACACCTGGATGCATGTGGATTTCGCAGTACTTTTTTTTGTTTGACCAGGCCTGGTCCCAGGAAGAGCCACGGTATGGTACCAGTACAGCCCAGTGGTAGCGCCAGTAAAATTGGTACCGTATAGCTGTCTCTACTAGCTAGCTAGACGGTAGCCACCGTACGAAGGAGAACAAAAATTCCGTCTCCTGGGTTACTCGGCATTTTGTCTGTTTGGGAAAGTGTTTTGGGGATTAAGTGTAAATGTCTACACACAGTTAGTAGACATAAGTAGACAAAGTAGACATTGTGCGACATTAGGAGACATTAGTAGACAAAGTGATACATTGGTAGACATTGGTAGACAAAGTGAGACATTGTGAGACATTGTGAGACATTGGTAGACAAAGTGAGACATTTTTGTACTGTTTTACTGTACTGTGTAGACAAAGTGAGACATTGGTAGACATTAGTAGACATGGTGAGACATTGTGAGACATTGTGAGACATTGGTAGACATTGTGAGACATTGTGAGACATCCGTAGACATTGTGAGACATAAGCCACTTTTACAAAGGAGCATAGAACATTTAGGCAACTCTGTAATCAGATACAATAGCCTTAAATAGACAAAATGCCGAGTAACCCTGAGAGAGCGCTCCTTTAGGTTACCCCTCAGTTGCACTCTGAAATCGATTTGCCGGCGTTTACTGTGTAAAATAGAGTAGCCGCACTTCAGTTGCAGAATCAACGGTCATGTGTATCGTTAAGTAACAAGTTCCCTTTCGAAAGATTTAGATTGATTCCTGGAAAAAGAACCGTTGAAGTTACTAAGAATTATCTACTGAAGCCAGCCGGGGCCAGGCTTAAGCAAGAGAACAGTCGAAATTCAGGACTAGGTGGTTCGGTGGGATCAGGGAGATAATTGAGGACCATACGGGGCCAAAGGGCTTTGCTTGCGAGATCACGGAGAAATAATGGGAGCTTTCACAAGGGCAATGGAGCGGGTCTGGATGAGAACATCATTTGAAAGTAGGAAAATGAGTTTTGGAGGCAGTAGCGAAGCAACGCCGTTGTAAGAGAATCTTGGCTTGGGGGGCAAGCATGCCATCCACAGAAACAACAAAGGGATGAAAGGAAGCGCATTGAATTCGTATGGTAAACAGGAGGTAAATCCAAAGCTTGGCCGACAACAATGCATGTGAGTGCTTTATCCAATCGCCATCAACGAATCGATTCGATTGAGGTGAGTCTATTATCAAGATTGTTATTTAAGAGATACAGAAGTGCTGACGTTCTTTCCCGCTATCTCAATTCCTATGGTATAACAGGAGAGAATTCGAGCTCGCCGTCAACATCGAATCGAATCGATCGGTCGCACCTCTTTATCAAGCCTATCAACCGTCCTGTCTCGGTGTAGATGCGAAAGCCTCCCTCAATTGAATCCATGGACATGGGATGGCAAGTCAGTTCTCGGCCATGACGGCCAAGTTGGTCAATTTGAATAACAAGGGTAAGTCGCCGTTCGTCTGAAGTTGAGCACAGAAAACAAACTCATATCTATTGTTGTTTTCTCTGCTGCATGCTCGAGGCCGCATGAATTACCATTGTGGCGGTCCAACGAACGATTGATCGCTCCGAATAACAAGAGGAAGAGAGCTACCGCTACGGAGAGTATGATTACGGAGGAAACTGTTAACTCCAGCCCTATCAACAGCATTTGAACGATCGTCGTCGACTACATTGGAAGGGAACAGGAGACAAGGCTAGCTACTCGACAACACACAAGAGGAGTGGGTCCTCCTATCGGAATTCATCCCTTCTTGTTATTTCCTACTGTTTTGGTGGTGATTCTGGTGTCGGTTCCGCATTCTTTCCTGTATGCGCAAATCAGGGTACTTGCTGCGCACTAGCTATGGCTTCGAGCCGGCTACAATGGCTGGATTGACAATATTCCGTTGTGCTGTGTATGTCGTACTAAGGATCCAATAGCGAGGTAACCGAGGTTGAGCAAGCAAAGTTAACCTGCGTGTGTTCGGTACTCGTTGCCACTGTCACCGATCGATGAACTCTACGATAGCTGGCTACGATGGCTGGATTGACAATGTTCGGTTTTGCATGTATTCATCATAAGATCCAATGCAAGGTACCGGTAACGGAGTGTAGCCAGTAAGCGGAACCTGATGTGTTCGGTACTGTTGCCACTGTCACGGATCGATGTAACTCTACGGTAACTGCTACAATGGCTGGATTGAGAATATTCGTTTGTGCATTCGTCATAGATCAAATGCAAGGTAAGTGTACCGGTAACGAGTGTAGCAGCAAAGCCGAACCTGTGTCGGTACTGTTGCAACTGTCGTTGATGTAGCTATACCGCATCCGGCTACAATGGCTGGGATTCATAAGTTCGGTTGTGCATGTATTCGTCATAGATCAAATGCGAGATACGGCAATGGGTGTGAGCCAGCAAAGCGAACCTGAGTGTGTTCGGTACTGTGCCGATGTAACTGTACGGTAGCGGCTACAATGGTGGATTAACAATATTCGGTTTTGTGCATGTATTCGTCATAAGGATCCAATGCGAGGTAACCGACTGCAGCGAGCAAAGTCGAACCTTGAGTGTGTTTCGGTACTGTTGCCACTGTCACCGATCGATGAACTCTACGATAGCTAGCTACGATGGCTGGATTACAATCTTGGTTGTGCATGTATTCGTCATAAGGATCCAATACGAGGTACTTGTACCGGAGTGTAGCGAACAAAGCCGAACCTGAGTGTGTCGGTACTGTTGCCACTGTCGCGTGTAACTATACGGCAGCCGCTTACAATGGCTGGATTAAAAATATTCGGTTTTGTGCATAATAATTCGTCATAAGTATGCATGCGAGGGTAAAACCCCTTTTTGAACTATACGGCAGCCGGCTACAATGGCTGGATTGACAATATTCGATTGTGCATGTATTCGTCATAAGTATCCAATGCGAGGTAACTGAGTGAGGGAGCTGGAACTAAGGAATCAAGAGACGAACGCTGAAAAAAACCGAATGATGTTGGTGGGATCCAGGGATCCTGGGTAGACAAGTCTAGGGTGATGGTCTCTCTGCGCTCTGCGACCTTCACCTTTCGGTTGCGACTTCGTTTAAGTCCCTGAAGGCTCTCGTAGTTAAATCTATGCGTCGCGTTTGGCCTCCCTCCCTTTTTGCCGTTGTCGAAGCTTCCAAAGGAGACAGCAGGGTCTGATGAACAAGTCCTTCTGCTGAAGATCCTCGTAGTACCTGCGATGCCGGTTGACTTGTTGGAAGAGGGGAGGACAGATAGCAGCAGAGCTCACCAAGAAGATAGCTCGTGCCAACGAGAAACTGGGTCTGTGGTGACGGTTGACTCGAACGCAGCCCCACATTCTATTGCAGTCTCCTCGAACAATTCAACATCCTCCTCCCCTGTCCAAGCATCACCGGTGTTGCTTCCACAGTCATCCCAAAGCCGATCTGACGAGTCTAGTCAAGATGGAAGCCAGAAAGAATCTCGCAGCTTGAATCATCTTTCTTTTCGTCGGATTGGAGTATCGATCTTCGTTTTGCAGGTACTCTCCACTATTGCATTCACTTGGTATGCGTGGGCCACGGGCACTTCTCGTTTGGAGATACCAACGTTTGTGGTTTGGCAGCTATGGTGTCTAATCACGATTTGGAAAGCATCCATGCCCTACGCCGAGAATGCATATCTGCATCGAGCCTCCGCGGTCCTCGTCTTGCTTGCCTCCAATACAATGTTTGTACCGGATCCAGCGTCTCCCCGCGGACGAACAATCCTGGCGCTTTGTACCACGCGGCTCATTGGAGTCATGGTGGCGGTAATCGTCATGGAAATGTCCGGGAAATGTCTACGGCAGACGGTATTTGAGGACCAGGACGCATTCAATACATTGGCAGTGACAACCATCCTCACAAACATCAAGGCCAGCCTGGTGATTGTCTTTCTCCTGGCAGACGCCGTAGGAAGCCTAGCCAATAGCAGAACCTGGCTAGATGTCACGAAGTCCTACGAAGTACTGCAACAACTGGAAGGAGATGATTCTCCCTACGTCACTTCCGAACAGAAAATGGCAGAACAAGTGTTTGAAGAAACTGTGCGAGGATTCCAGGCAGTCTTTGCCGGTGGAACCCTCAACCTAACTCTTTTCATTTCCTTCGTTCTGTCAAGCATTGCACGGCTCTCCATTCTTGATGTTGTAGAATTGAAGGTTACGTTCGTTGAAGGTCTAGTGGGAGTGGCTTCGTTGACATTGATCTTTCTCACACTCATTGCGTTGGGCTTTCTCCAAGCCCACCAAGGGGCTGATCTTGCCACTTTGAATGCATTTTTCACTTCCATGTGGCTTTCGGGGTTCGTCAGTGTCGTGGGCTGTGGAATCATTGCAAGATCCATATCCAAGGGTTGTCACCCCGACTTCGAACAAAGGTCGGAGCGTGAACAAGGTGAGGGCGGACCACTTCTCTTGGTGGGTGGGTAGGCAGCCATAGTGCTCCTGGTGGCTAAGCTGGCGACATCCTGAGATTTGTTTTGTTTGGTGGTGGCTGGGGTGATGAAGTGCCAACTGCCGAGCTAAATGTATGTGGGATTTGAGTGCATACATTGGGCTTGCAGTTGAATGGGCTTACCAAATGCCCACTGTGAAATTTCCTGTGCATCTTGATATAAGTACCGTACCGGTAGCACGCCATAACGATACTCGTACCGGTAGCTATCACACCTGCTATTTTCATAGGCTAGAGGAGCTCACCATTTTCAAATTGGAAAAAGGAGAACTAAAATGTCACCAAATACCTTTACAAAACGGTACGTGGTTTGACCCTGTCTTGGTAAAAAACAGTATTAGTAGATCTACTACCACTACTCATCTGGGGTTGTAGATCGGTGTATTCCCTCTCCACTGGCTTTTTCAGTGGCAAGTACCAGGTACCTGTTTGTTTTGATCACTACGGTTTCACGTCGAGATCCTGCATTGGATTTTGGCCAGTCGGATGTTTTCTGTCGAGTTTCCTGCACGCTCATGTGGACTTGTAGAACTTCAATACCAAAATCCTACACAGCCTTGAGCCGATCCTAACCGTGAAGTGAGACCGAGACCGAGACGTAGAAATCGAGGATGTCAAACTATTCAACTGACTGAAAAGGCTTCTATCCAATCAGGAGGTCTCACAAAGTCTCGTGACTCGGCATGCCCTCCCCACACTTTCTGAAAATCTCGTGCCTCCAGTCTTGCTTCCGAGATTCATTACTATACAATGTTCAGCACCATGGTCTACCAGCCAATCAGAATGCATCCGAGACATATTCAATGCATTATCCGTCATTGAATAAATGTTATCTTCCAATTAAGTAAATATGGCAGGCTCGAATTCAATGTCCATGTATGTCTTGGTCTCGGTCTCGCCTTACGGTTAGGATCGGCTTTAGGATGTGTAAAATGAGTGTACGAAGTATTATTGAATCATTGCATGCTGTAGGTCATACAGTACTTCCTACTCAACCTACCTCCATGCTAATAAATTAAAATTGGTTCAAAACAGTTAAACTGGCCTTAATTTTCTCAAGATCGATTCAGTCATTCACAACGTCCGTCGGTTTTCTGTGCAGTCATTGCAGAAAATTGTTCAGTGCAAGGTTCACAAATTTTCACTTAGGCTAAGTGCGCATAAATCCACTTAGACTAAGTATAACACTTAGCCCAAGCAAAACACATAAAATTTGTGAGGGACAAATCACCCTACCCGTTCAAGCACCAACTAAGCAGGTGCCCGTGCAGGGCTTCGTACCTGGTACCTGGTACCAGCACTGTACCAGCACAGTCTGTCAAAATCCGATTGATAAACGCCACGTCTCCTATGTAGGCCGTAAGCCAGTGGGACCGAAACTACCAAGGCTGCTTGGTTGCATGAACTTTCGTAAAAATGTTCCGAGTGCATTTGAACGATTATGGCAAGAGCCATTGTGATTTAGGAGTAATTCCCCAAAATTGCCTTGTTCTTGAAAGACTGCATGCTCCATCCCACGAGCACACCACTTTGCAGGATACACTGTGGCTCCACCGAAAATTGAAATCCAATTCTGCAGCGACATTTGCAAGTACCGAATCGTCTCACAATATTTGATTCTAAAAAGCTAAACAAAACAACTGAACAAACTTACTCTGCAATATGAAGATCTCTCTTCTCACTCTCGCCTGCTTTGCTTACATGTCATTGGCCTCTGCCAGGTCTCTCCGTGCACCAGACCAAGAGGGCGATCCAAACACAGCGTACTGAGCCAATTTCAATCCTGTCGGCATCAAAACTGTACATAAAGAAGAGAGCGACAGCGATGGCTAGATCACAGCGGATAGTTGTGAGACCGATTCAAAATTGGTGCTAAAGCCCTTTTTTATAACTGGTCGCAGGCTTTCCAAGTCATGTCAGACGGTACAATTGAAAGATTAGAATGTCATGGCATGGTCTGGGAGCCGGAACTTATACATTGGAAATGCACTGGTGGGGTGAAACTTGCCCCACGCAATCCTGAACGCTCAAGGTTACAGGGCTGGTCTGTCGAGTATGGCACTCTGCGTACTGTTCTCAGCGAGTCTAAAACACTACAGTTTCGAAGCAACTTTTGTTCCAGCGGGCTAACAACCACAGATGCAAAAGGGGGCGACAGTGGGTCTACACCCATCGGTGGGCCAATTGGGCCCACCCCCGTCAGTGTGGAGGCTGAGAGTGAAAGTCCAAGCGTCGTGCTTAGTGGTGATGGCAGGTGGTGGATTGAGCATCCAGGAAGCGGTCGTTAATGCTAGTGCTACTGTAGCCATCCAAGTGCCAGCTCAGACCTGGCATTGAGACACCCAACGGTACAAAAACAGTAACCACTCAGAGATAACAACCTTAAAATAGCCAGAGCTTGATCAGCCCAATAACAATGCATGGCTTCACGTACTAACTAGATTGAGATGCAACGATTAGGCTGGGCCCACAGTGCCCACAACTGAGTACTCCATCACAAAGTGCTGCTATTTCCTAGCTAGGAACCAATGATAGCGTAAGCGAAATATCGACGCCTTATAGTGCGCATCGAACGAACTTGTCAAATGCAAGGCGATTGCATCCGTTCGCACGCCTTTGGTGGACTTAGTTGTGGGCACCCAAGACCTGTAGTCATTCCGCGAATGGCACGTTTCGTCGTTGTCGCGTGGGACCACATTGTCTAACCAGTAAAAGCAGCCAAACTTTCAGCTCGATTCTTCACGTTCTGCTTGGATAGCATACAACCTTTTTTAATCGAACAACAACTAATAAATCCATCATACCAGCATGATGCAATGTCGCACAATTGATATACCAGGGACACTACAAGTTCAAGATGGAAACGAAGGAGAGAATACTGGTTTGTTGCGTCAACTTTCATCAGAGAGATCACAGTTGTGTAGAATCATCGTACTTCACGATGTGTAACCGAGCTGGCGGCATTTCTTTCCGTTATTATAGGTACCAATGCACTTCTTAGGTTTTCATTGAAGATTCCAAAGGGACAACTAGATTAGCATGTTCAATATTAAACCGAAACAAATTATAAAACTTTTTCATTTTAAAATTAGCTCTAAGTTACTGTTCTGGTCAATTACAGTTTTTTCAGAACCTTTCCTTTGTAACATTATATTGCACCTATAGGAAATACCTTAAAACAACTTTTTCTCATAACAGTAAGCCCAAGAAGCTTGAAACTATATATAGCATCTACTAGGAAGATCTATAAAAATTGTGACATTTATTGACCTTGACCTTATGGTCCAGGACCTCTGTGGAAACTCGAGTCGTGCTACCGATTGTCTCCTAAATCCTTTTGATCGTCTCCTATTTAATGGATTTCGTCTCCTAAAAATAGGAGATGCAATCTCCTCTTAAATCGTCTCCTATTTTCAACGGATCGTCTCCTATTCTCAACGGATCGTCTCCTAAGTGCACCATGTAAACTGTATGGTATCGTCTCCTAAATCTTTCGGATCGTCTTCTATTTCGAAATGATCGTCTCCTAAATGGAATGTCTCTTAATGTATCGTCTTCTAAATATAGGAGACGATTGCTTTCGTCTCTTAAATCATTTCAATCGTCTCCTAAGCCTCGGTGTATCGTCCCCTAAGTATTTTTCCACAAATGATGTTTCCACAGAGGTCCTGTTCCTGGCCGCAGGCTCGACCGTTGTGGAAACATTGAATCGTGGGTATTTCTTTATGAGACTTAACAAGTTTCATATAAGAGACTTAAGCGGTTTTAAAGAGACATGGTTTCGAAATAGGAGACGTCTCCTATTTAGGAGACGTCTCCTGTAAATAAGAGACGTCTCCTAAGCAATAAGAGACGTACACGTGTTAACTACGCGGTAACTAAGTCTCTTATATGAGACGTCTCCTAATTATAATGAGGAGACGTCTCTTATAAATAGGAGACGTCTCCCAAAATAGGAGACTTTAAGTCGCTTATAGGAGACGTGCACGTCTCCTATTTGATGACTTAGGAGACGTAGCCACGACTAAATCACGTTTCCACAGAGGTCCCGGGCGTACAGCGTACGGAAAAGCTGCAGGCACGATCAATAATCACCGCGATCTGGTACCGGTACCAGTAGTACAGCTGTACGATGTAGCGTGCGGGAACAGACGACCATCCCAAGGGTCCTTCTGGCGACCGGACAATTGGTCTGTCCAGAGTCGGACAGCTCCAGCTTTAGATTGAGGTAGGTTAGGTAATGATACTCCTATTTTGTACGTATATTAGACACTAATTATACCTCACCTACCCTTATTTTACAACGCAAAAAGCAAGAACGAGACGAGCGAAAACAGGCCTTGGCGACTGACAAAGGAAGCACAAGACTTCGCTTTTGCACGGGGGCAAGCAAGACCTATCAAGACAGTCTGTTTTCTTCCGGACAACTTGGGGCTAAAAGGCAGGTCACACGTCACAGCAGGAAGGTTGGAATGATAGGGTGGATAGTTGGATGTTATGCAACAGATACTAGCTAGCTACTAGAGTATTGACCCAATCTCCAAGACAGAGATCCCACCGTAGTATGTTGGACAATGATCTACTATACAGTTATCAGTATCAGCATTGTTCCTACTGGATCGATGAAGACCTTCCAGTCAATCTGTTTTCTACCGCATTCCCGTATAATCTCGCTCGACCATGGCCATGGTCGACTCATGGTCACAGCGGGAGCCACCACAACAACACCGCTCTTGAGTGCAACATACCTAGCGTAAGGCTTGAAAAATTGCAATTATTTATGTACAAGAAGCTGTACAAAGCAAATTATGTAACTACATGTAGCAACACGTAGAAAGGCAGTGGCGGGGCATGGCAGGAAGAACCCCTCAGTGGTACGGCTCCCCAAAAAGAGACAGAGCCATTACCCAAAGATTGCCGGTGACACCTCTGTCAAACCATCCAGGGCACCCAAGGAGTCATCTTCGAGCATGGGAAAACTCAGGAAATCATCCTCTAGTGGAGCCTCCTCTTGAGAATCAGGAACTTTGGCTGGCTCAGGGAGGTTGGGCACGATTGAAGAGCAAGACCTCAGAGTGTTCAAAAGAGCTACTGTTTCTCCCGCCAGTCTCATCGTACTAGACATTGTCTCCATTGAAGCCTCATAGCGACCTTGAAGAGCGCTGCTTGTCCGAGCATCATCGCTGTATGCCGAGGAAGAGACATATCTTGCCGGTTGGTTCAAAGGAAGACTGGCTGCCACCAGTGAAGTAGCAGTCATCGGAAGTTGCAGAGTCGGGAGAACTTGTTCCGAGTGCAGCTTTGTGATGCTGGCGTGGGCCACTTGATTCAAGCTAAAAGAGCTGGTCGTCGTGCTCGTCTTGATCATGGGGATCACAGCGGGGATCAGAGCGATGCGCGAAGTAGAACAGGATGGAGCTGGTTGTTGTTTGACAGACGCGAGAGACGGCAATGAATCCCCAACACCAGCTCCAGCCTTGCGAGTGATCCGGTTTGCAAAGCGCAACGCGTGGCCAACCTTATCGCGAGCTTGGAGGCTGGAGAGCTCCTCCCAAGCCTTCTCCTTGTTGTTGTACTTGAGGAAGCGAGCCGAAGCCTGGTTGAGGAGATCCACTAGTTGCTTTGTTACACACATCTTATCAAACTGCAGCATGAACAGAAAAAGGCGTGAAGACGATAAAGTGAGAAATCAGCGCTAGATGCCACGGTGTCACTCGCCAACGCAACAGCAATCGTGTTCTTACCTTGGTCAACGCTCCTGCGTAACTGTCTCTGAAGCTCTCGATGACCAAACGAAACCGTTGGGTTCCAGGGTGGAGCATACATTGCTTTGTTTTGCCACACAAGATGTCAGTCTGTGTAGGACTATAGATGAGAGGCAACGATGTGCTCTGTCTGGTATCTGTAGTATCCGCCATGGTAGTGTCTGATTTGTAGTAGCCTATTGATGTTGTTCGGGTTGATGATGCTAAGGAGCTGTGAAGCAAAAGTGAGGCATCAAAAACAGAGCTAAATTGCGCTTCAGTGCAAGCTGAAAAGAAGCAGTTGCACTAAAGAAATGCCGGTACGGTGCAGGCACTGTCTTGGATCGTCTATCAACCTGACGTGTAATAATTCTACGTAGAAAACTGAAGCATCACCTGAATGAGGGGTCGAAATTCGGAACAATCCCTAGAAGCACAGAGTGGAATGCATTTAGTCCCGCTGTCGTCCGTGGGTCGGATTCGGACTTGGTTTTCAAGGTTTGCTACATGTACTACCTAGGATCGTTGTTTGGCCAACGCAACCCTGTACCGTCCTTAAAATCGATAGCTTAAACCCTAGCGAGTGGCAAATTGAATGATAAGGAGTGAGCCAAAAAGACAGTTTCTTGCAGAAGATTCTGACCAGCTGGCGCATGCTTCTTTAGAAGTAACGACGTTCATTATACTTCGCATTTGTGCAGATTGTTGACATCGTCAGGTCGTCAGCACCAAAGAACGGTTGCATAACTTCGCATTTGTGCAGATTGGTGCTTTCGTCAGTCACAATACCGTGCAAAAACGCGAACTATGACTGTCCTTATGGTTCTGGAAATAAGATCCTGTGCATCTTCCAATCACAGTTCAAATTTTAGCCAGCTGAGCTTCTTAGACTCTCAAGATCCTCTCCCCCTGTCAAGATATTCTATTCAGGCGAAAATTTGCTTGCCGAATTACCAGCACTACAGTACATGCGTCCGGCATCGGTACCTACGGTAGTCCAGGGCTACTACACTACTCACAACCAACACAACCAACACAAACAAGGGTAGCATACATGATATGACAGTACTAGCTAGCTAGTAGGCTGGCTCCTGCTCAGTTCTTTTGAGTGATTATGAAGTTATGAATCAATTATAGCTGTGTGAAAGTCATGCATCTTGGGGAGTACGGTCGGCTGACAACGGAGTTAGTTTTCGCTGTCCCCCAAAAACGTCGAGCAATGGGAAAACCTCAAAAGGCCCGGGTTGTCCTCGACCTGCGAAAAGTGCTGCTGGAAATCAGTCTTTGATTGTTGCTGACTGCCGTTGCTACCTACGGAATCCTGCGGAGGCATGAATCCTGAGCTTTCAAAGACAGTAGCTGCGCTGTTTTCGTGGGTCTCTGCATGAGTCTCCAGCACATGAAATGATGAGTCCAAAGCCCCCAAAGAAGGGCACAGTAGCTCTCTATCTCTAGCAGTGGCAGACAGCCACTCATTGACCAATGTATCAACAGCGTCATTCGCACTGCTGGTCTGGTTGACTAAAGAGCCAACATTTTCAGCGTGGAGAGCTGCGTGGAGTGACTGGTTGGGCTGGGCAGAAGGGGTCGAAACCGTTGCATTCAGAGCCCTAGTGGCGGCACCCCCTAGTTTCCTATGACTTCTTGAATCCACACCACCAGAGCTAATGAACTGGAAAAGGTTGCTGGAGGCTTGCACGGAAGTTGATGCGGTTGGTGCCTGGGCAGTGGTGGTGGCGATCGTCGTTTGACTGCTGGAAACAATAGCAGCTTGACTGCTCGAAGCGACATGGGAAAACACTATTTGGGGAGAGGACGCGGTGGCCCACGAAGCCAAGGAACTGCCAAATGGGGTTCCGTTAGGGATGTCACTGGCAGACATGATGGCTGGGGCTGACTGTGTGGAGAAGTGGCCACCTAGATAACACAGTGCGCCAGGGAGAGCCTCTTTGGAAGGGTGTGGGTGGGGCACTACAGCCATGGTGGAACTCTTGGGAGGTGCTTGAGGTGCTTGAGCCATCCTACTGCAAGGAGGCAAGCTGGATTGGAGGAGTGGAGAACCTCCTTGCTTTGCACTGCTGCCTGTACAGACGGCGCCAAGAATAGCTTCACTATCAGCAGGTCGTGGAGACGTGCTCCCCTTACGCTTTTCTCTGTTGGCAAAGCGGAGTGCGTGACCTATTTTGTCATGAATAATGTCAGCAGAGAGTTCCTCCCAAGCCTGCTGCTTCTTGTTGTACCTGAGGAAGCGACAGGGGACGCTCTTCAGATACTGATAAACTCCATTTCGGATCACTTGACTCTTGTCATACTTTGTGAGTGCTTGGGCATACTGATCACGAAAACTCTCGATGACAGTCCTGTACAATTGATTGCCTTCGTTGTCAACGCAGACCTTTCCTCGTCCACAGAGGATATCATAACGACCAGGTTGAGCCACCAATGGCAAGTTGCCTGGAGTGTGCTGGACTGCAGCATGATGACCGCCTCCCCTTTGGGATCCTCCGCTGGTGCTGCTGACGGTAGCCATTGCGGACGTGGTCTGAAAGGCGAAACCAGTGCTAGGATGGGACATCATGGGGAAGTGTGGAACAAATGAGGATGACAAACAAGTGCGTGGGAGAAGTGCAAGGGTGCGGATGTAGCTAGATAGTTGCTGACTACTATCGAGTTGAAATTGTGAGTGTGAGATGAGGCACCAAGAACGAAGGTGCGGTTTGAAAGATTTCGAAGGATATTCCGGCCACCCTGGAACAAGGACCCGACCTCAGAAACCCAACAGCGCTGGATAGCCTCTCAAGGAAACCAGCCGAACAGATATTGATAGTGGCTAGCGTGAAGGCAATAGACAACCAAAGGTGTCCTGTGTGATACTAGCTAGTAGTTGTGGAGGTCTTAAGGAGAAAGTAAAAGGGATTCCACCACTGTGTTGCGTGTTGCCCAGACAAAAGGGATCGGAAGGCTGCGATCGTACGGTACTGTGAAGTAAGTGTGAAGAGCTTGTGAAGGCTGCTGGATCCCTGTGGGGATTTTGGGATCCGGTTCTCTATCGGTTACCCCAAAAAAGGACAAAGGGTTTCGCGCGTCTAAAACTTGATCGTGGCAGCACCACATCTACATATTTTTCCCGTGGACAAGACATGGGCTGTATAGGAGAACATGATAACCGATGCAGAAGTTATACCTTACACGCTCAGATGCCTTCTGACCTTCTAACCCCCGTTCGCACCGAACACTCGAAACCTCCTGGAAGCCTGGAAGACGGAACCAGACAGGTAGATGCGGTAATCATAGGGTTAGAGTCATTGTCTGATATGCATTTATCTATGACTTATTTTTTAGAAAGGATTACCACACCTACTACTAACGTGGTACCCGAATTCAAACCCGTCTTTCTGGATGGATATTTACACCTTTACCGTATGGCCATACCGGGTACTCGTATCGTACTAGATAGCTATGGTTATGTGAGCTGGATACCGTATGGTAGAGTATTGGTTAGTATTGGCATCATACAATATAATATTATTATTAGCAAAAGTGACTGAAGTAAGCTATGGTTCACGCTACCTTGCGCGTAGTACTGGTGGTACTCGATAGTACGAGAATTCTGTACAGTACACCTGAGAGCAGCTGATTAATCCTCAGGCCTGACTAACCAGCCAGTCACCCGGAACGGTTGTGGCCTTTTTGACATTGTGAGAAACCCAACAGCCAGCACGACCCATCATAGCTAGCTAGAGCTACTAGCTAGCTAGTCTACTAGTACTCTTTTAACACACAGACACTGATGTTCATGCTTCTGCGTCGCCACAGCAAAAAGGACCACCAGCCATCCATGACTCGACGATCCAAACCATTCGTGAAGCCTGTTTTCTGTTTTGTGCTCTTGCTACTACCAGTGCAAGGTAGCGGTAGCTAGTACTGCACCGTAGCTTAGGATTTTACTGAAAGATTGCATTCAATTCGATTTGTTGTCCTCCAGTCACCAAAGGATTGGAATTGCCAGGCTCTTCGCAGTAGCAACAGCTGTAACACAATGTACCAGGTACGAGTACACAGTGTACCAGTGGAGCTTGCGATTGTGGGACTGATGCGGACTTCGGAGACTGGAAGGATACCTAGGACATTGGCACTCAACTTCGCTTCCAAGCCCGATTCGATTCTTTCGAACATTAGAACTGGACACCACAGAACACAGGGATAAGATGTGGCGATGGATGGCCTTGTTCCTTCTATTGGCAAAGAATCCTGGGATGGGCTCTATGGTAGAAGGGAGAGGCTTTTGGCTTTTGGTGCCGTAGAGTAGAGGTATGTAGCTGTGAAGCTGTGGTAGATCATAGAAGTGGACGAGAAGAAGAGAGATGGCCGCGGTACCGGTATGGTCTGGCCAGCTCATAGTGGGCCCAGAAAATGCATGAGAATGTGATATCTGAATCTGGACATCTTGGAGATCTCAATCCGCTGCGGGTGCCCACTACTGGTAGGCTTGCAACAAACATATTGTCACTCAGCACATCCAGTTACTTCCCTAGATAAAGGCCCCACTCTAGGCCCCGTTTAAACCGCCAGAGCTCCTCCAGTTGGTACCAAGTATGAATGCGACCTGGTGAGTTGCCTCTGCTGCGAATTGCCCAGTGCCGTGCCACCCTCTCAGCCACACAGAGAGAGAAGTCAGGCAGCATCTCGTTTACACAAAGGTGGGAAGCTGCGAAGGTGGACATTTCATACACTTGCGCCTTGCGCCTTACCATCTTCCATCTTCTGGTTTCCCATTCCCAGTGGCGACAATAATATATATCGAGCACGGTAATAATCATGTACAGAAAAAGTACTACCGAGTACAGCCGTAGCATAAGATCATTGCTGCTAGAATTCCTTTTAGGCTCCCGCTAGCTAGAGAGCGAGATATGAACCGGCGGGCATAAGAACCTATCCACCGGCTCTGTCTGGAAGGCTTCCGTGTTTTTATACCGGCACAGTGGTATACCTACTTGACAACCAGGATTCGTTGGTTGCTGGCACTCTTGATGCGATGGCTGCCTCCCGTTTCAAGAACAGTCAGCAGCAGTTGACACTGTTTCGTTTGACTGTTTCGTTTGATGTCTTGCGTGTGGTCATGGCTGTAAGGTTGCATACAGGACCTTCCTCTCCTGGCTTTGCTGGGGTCAGGTTTCAGTGGACTCCAGGTATTGCGCGAAAAGTGAATTGTCTGTGCTAGACCAAGAGGCTATTTCATCGGCTGTACACGTCCAGCATCAATGTCTCCAGAACACCCTCGCAATCGTTCACCCCCCCTAGCAAAAGTTTGTCTGTGTCCACAGCAGCACCTGGATCCAGGAGCTTCTCCCGAAACCCCCTTCTCAATTCTTTCTTCTGGGTAAGATTTGATGATGAACGCCTGTCATCACTTGCAACATCACCACACATGATATGGCGGTACCACGCGGCACTGAACACTTCGGCCCAAAGATATCGATACATTCCAATGTGCATTCCTGTGGCATTGCTTTGCATGACATGGAGGATTGTTGAGAGGTCATCCTTGCCTGCAGGTAAATCATGTGGAATGTACTGAAACGCAAGTTGTCGCTTCAGCTCCACCAAGGATCCGCGCTCCCAAGAGGCGTCGTCAGCACACGTGAACAAGTCCAATTCAAGTGTCCCCCAAAACGCATGTTGCAAGGACTGCAGTGCTCGACGATGCAACCGCCACTCGTGGATTGTTTCGATCATTGCTGGCGTTAGAGAATTACTGCTGCTGCTGCTGCTGTTGGCGGAGGAGAAGTCCATGACCGAGAGCAGCGTAGACTCGTCAAACAGACAGAGTTCCATGATCTAACATGGCCGTGCAGTATAGACAACGTGAAACAAAGTAAGTAAGATACGTTGTTGCATAATCTGTATGTATGACTGCCAAGCAATACGGTCGATGAGCAGTTTTCCACATAGCAAACCTACCTTTGGTACAATCTCGGAAACATCCGTAGGCATATTCTGTGCTCCCGTCAATGTCCCCACCGATGTTTGGGCCAACACGAATTGCATGGCATGACCAAATTCATGCCAGAGAGTCTCCGCATCTTCCCATGTTATGGTAACATCCTTGTCGTTATCCCAGACGGGGGGACTCATGTTCACCGAGACCGCCACCAACGGTGGCAAGTGGTTGTTGCCTCTCCTGTGACGCAGTGGAATGGTAAATGCTTGCTCTGGTTTGCCCGTTCGCTGGAACGGATCCAGAATGATGGTCCCTAAAAGTACTGCTGCATCTTCATAGACGTGAAAGATTCGATTCTCCTTGTGCCACAACAAGTCTCTAGCCTCGTCGTCGTTTGTTGACTGCTGTATGATTTCAATGGTGTTCTTGTTACTGTTTCCCAACAAACAAGAATCCGAGGAGGAACCAAGGAGCTGGAACAGAGCTTGGAGTGTTCCATTCAGTGTCGGAGATGGCACATGTTGTTTCTCGAGCCATTGTTTGTCAAATGGATCGTGTTGAATGGCCTCGGCGAGTGGTTGAAACAGTTCTGCGACGGCCATGTTCATGTCTCGAATCTGCTGTTCCGATGTTGCCATGCGAGATCCCGTACTACTAACGATTTGCTGTAGATAATTGTCGTATCCCAACCGTTTGGCATTCTGGTTCCCGACTTCCACAATGGTGTTGGTATCGTCCACTAATAGCTGCTGTTGTTGTGGTCTGTGTGATGAAGACATATCACGGGCGTCCATTTGTCGTATCCTGGACTGTGCGGACTGGATCTTGCGGGCCGTCTGCTGAAATTCTCGACGTTGATCCGAGGGCAAGTGAATTCCCGTTTGGTGTTGTATTTTTCTTAATAGAAAAGTACCGGCCCAGTAGTAGTCTCTTGTTCCGTCAGATGCACTACTGCGGTTGTCGTCGTGTTCATTATTGATATCATCACCTAATGCATTTTGTAAACATGCATGCAAGAGTTGCACAAATTGGAGATACTCTTCCTCCTCGTCTGTAGAAAAGCTGTTGTCATCACTAATGATGGATTGTTGCAGTGGTATGGGTAGATGTGCTTGCAGTCTGTTGTATTCCTTGTTCCATTCCTGTTGTTGTGTTAATGTCTCTGCCAGAAGGGTCAATGCATAGCACGATCCATGCAAGAAATGCAGTGGTGCTTGTAGAGCATCCCAGTCCGTCAGGATTTGGTTCAGATTGTTATTGTCCTGGTTGTTGTATTGGCGGGAGCAGTCCTCCTTGAGCGTTTCCAGCAACTTGTTTTGATCTTTTTGGAATTGCAGTGGATATTTCTGAACTGCATCTTGCATATGATGGGGTCGCCATTGCGAATACTTGGGTAAGATGACAGTACTAGTACTACTTGTACTTGTAGTTTCAAAGGATTTCGTGTCTTCCAGAATGGGATTCACCGGTGACCAGGTCCGTTGACGGAGTACATCCCCCAAGTACTCGGAATGAAAGCAGCGCTTCTTCAAAGCAGTGCCATTCCACAGCAGTCTTTTGTAGGAGTGGTTGTTGATTCTGCACATGCACATCGATCAGTATCTATATCCGTGGAACTCTGCATCCAAGCCGTTGCATGTTCGGTGGATGAGCTGTTGCGTTGGATGAGGTGTTGTATCCATGACTGGATCTTTGTTTTTCAATCACTGGCTCGAAGAACATCCTTCAATTCTGACTCAGTCCTTCGATAAGTCGTACCCAACCGCATTCTTTAGCCTCACCTGTTGTGATCACTGCCTGTTGAGGTAGGTTATTGATCAAGGCAATGGCCAACCGACAAAGACAACAACAACATCATCATCATCTGAAGAAGAGGAAGAGGCGTGCCACTGGTAGACGAACTCGTTTGCTTGGACCAGTGCTTATCGTTGTTGCTTTGATAGCTGTGTATCCAATAAATCAAGTGCATTGTTTCGCATCGGCACAACAGCCCAACAGTGCCAACCTCGACAAATCTTGTCCCACAGAGTCAGCATCCATTCAAACGAGGCACCAACAATCTGTCACGACAGAAACGATGACGACAACAACAGCAACACCTAGTCGTAGTGTCGTGGAAGCCAGACTTCGAGGTGCTCTTTGGAGGTATGTCTGGGATTGTGCTGATTTCCATTGGACTTATTGCTTGACTTGACTGATTTGATACTCCTTCTCTCTTTTCTCTGATCCAACTTGTGCAGTTTCTTTAGTGGCGATGCTCTGGCGGCTCCCACGCATTGGTACTATGGGGGATTCCAGCAAGTCCAAATGGACTATGGACCCAACGGCATCACCACGTACACAAAACCGAAAATGGAATTGAGAGGATCCATTCTCAATAAGAGCGATGTCAATGGTGGAGGAAGAAGTAGCAGTAGTAGTAGCAGTGGCAAGTGGAGTCTATTTGGATCGTCATCCGACAAAAACAACAAAAAGGAACAAATTACTATTATCGGAGATGTCATTAATCACGGAAAGAAACCCTACTGGGACAAGCACAAATCCATTCACTACCATGCCACCTTGCAACGCGGCGAAAACACCCTCGAAGCACAATTGGCACGAGTACTCATGAAAACCATTGTACAAAATGACGGACGCTTCAATGCCGATGCCTTTCGGGACGCCTACGTCACGTTCCTGCAAACACCGGGGAGTCACAATGATACCTACGCATCCACATGTCATCGCATGTTCTTTTCCAATCTCGTCTTTTCCAAACTGCCACCCGAGAAATGTCCCGACAATGACGGACACAATGTCGATACCATTGATGGATTGATCCTACCGACCATTGCCGTATTGGCCACAGCGGCTGCGTCCCAGCAACCCGACAGGGTGGAAACTGTGGCCGCCCAATGCGCTGCCGTCACACGCCAATCGGCAGTGTTGGAACAATCCAGTCGAATTTGGAGTCGATTGGTGACAGCCTCGTTGCTCGAAGAGGACGATGCCGCCGTCGTACAACAGATGAACGATTGCAGTCAAAGCTGGGGACACCGACGACCTCCCAGTGCCAACGCCCCCGATCAAATGACTGCCTGTTACTTGAGTCAATCCGTTCCGGCCTTGTTGAACATGATTGCCAAGTACATGCCAAAGAATGATGGACGGACTGGTGTTTGGAACGCCCTCTTGTCCAATGCCAACATCGGAGGTGAAAATGTGCATCGTGGATCGATTCTAGGAGCCGTGCTGGGAGCTCGAGCCACATACGATAATCTGCCCACGGAACTGGTCCAAGGATTGCACGACAAGGAACAGTTGGAACGAGAAATTGAGGACTTTGTACAGGCAGTCATGAAAAACTAACTAGTCTAGTTAAAATAAAATAAAATGGCAGCCTCGTGTTGCCTCGTGGGTGGATGTGGCTAGCCACTGCTCGGCTTTCGGCTTTGTAGCTAGCTTTCCAAAGTGACCAGCCGAAGGTGGTAATCACAGCATCGAATAAACTTACTTCGTTCAGTCACTTTTTGCTAAAATCGTATGATCTGCCTTTGTAATTTTATGCATCATATACTAGTATCCGGTAGCACAAGGACCATCACAATCCCACGCAACGAGTTGACAAGTGCCATCTTCCACTACCGGTAGCTACCGGTAGAGTAGTCTACCGTACGGTAGTCAGTCAACCCCGCAATTTTGGTTGGGATCGAATCGGAATGACGAACGAGTGACTGGACTCAGTCTCCTCGCCCTCGCCCTGCGTCCAGCGGAAGGTGGTGTCATCCAGTCGTGGATTGCTTTATGTCTCTTTACTCGTGGATTCGATTCGATTCAATCGAATGATGAATCAAATCGAAACTCCGCGGTCCCCTCCGCGGATCCGCAGCACCACAGAACCGCAGCACCCCGCAACACGCAACACGCAACACCTCCGCAACAAACACCAGCAAAGAGTAGACTAAGCAATCAGACAACACTAACCAATGGAGCCAGGCCCAGGAAGTGTGTTCTTGGGCGTTATAGGGTGTTGTGGATCCAAAGTCGGTACTCATCAGTGGATCAGTCTCGTCTCATCACGTGTCGTTTTTCATCTGGCAGAATCCATCTGGCAGAATCCGTCATCCAAAATTGGAGGTTGGATGTCCACCATGATGAGCTCACTTTTTTGTTCAACCGGATTGCTAGAGTTGCATACCCAACCGAACAAGGAAGACTTTCGCGATTGTTGATAAGCCTAGGCCAGATCAACCCCCCTACTTCAATTACCCTTTCTATCAATCTTCTTTCAATACCTACCAATTGCAAAATGAAGTTCTCTTCTTCTATCATCAAGCTGCTCTCGTGGTCCATGACCACCGACAACAACAACAGCAACACCATGAAGACCCCCGTTCTCCAGTCGCCAAGGAGATGACGGGCAACACAACAAGGACGGTCCTGCCAGAGGAAGTCCCAACATTCCAACTGGATGAGTTGGACAAAGATGTCGTCAAACCGCGGCACTGTTGCACTCATATGGAAGAATCCTGATGTGAATTCCAGCAGCACGGTCGCTACCTAGGTGCCTACGACCTTTCCCTGGTTCCTGCGAATCAGCATGGTCACTACGGATACGACAAATACAACCAGCACCGGCCCAAAGGCTGCCGCATCCAACCCAGTCAATCAGCAACGCTCGCTGGAAGACCATTACGGTCAAGACACCGAACGGAGCAATGGAAACCGTTTATCCTTTGCTCCCGTCAACACTGTAGTGTGGTACTCTTCTGACGAGAGCGAACAGCTGAGAACCGTCGTGTTATCGAGACATGAACAAACAAGTGCCACAGGCCCGATACGAATTCTGGCAGGAAGCCCAACAACAATTCATTTCCGTCGGCACACCCACACCCCACGAACGCGTCTTGATCTCGTGCAGTTGATTCAAGAGTACGGATACCAACAAGTGGCCAAATGGATCACCAACAACAAATGGTTCAAAGCGACAAAGCGTACCTACAAAAAGCCAAACTGTACATTCAAATTGATCCGTGCATCAAGACCTCGTTGGACTTGTTCGTTTCATCCAGGCGAAGAAAGGAAACGACAAGCAAGTCGCCCACTGGTTAATGGTCAACAAAAGAACATTACTGTTAACTCGCTGTGCCACTTGCATCACGGAGGAATTCAGCGCAACGCTGACGACGAAATTTGCACCTTGAATACGCGAGAACAGATTGCCAACCGACGATTTGTCTATCGCAAGGTCAAGGATGTCTGCATGGAAGATGTAGCACCCGTAGAATTAGAACAACAACCAACAACAACTAAAGACGTCGAGACAATAGAAACAGTCTCGACCGTCGACGACAACAAGATGGCATCCGATGCCACAATCCCATGCGAAGCAGCGGTGGTTCCCACATGCACAGCAGTGGTCCCATACGTTCAAAAGTGGCATGTGAAACACTTCAAGATCAGTGTGCATGGACAACAACCATTTGTATTGGAGATTCGAATGATGAATGGTGTGCTACTTGGAGTGGTACCCAACGACATTCTCGCAGCCTTGATGAAGGATGGTGGAGACCTTGTCAAGGAATTTGTGCGGCGGCACAAGACACTACAATTAGAGGCAGGCGTTGCCTCGGACAATACGGATTACGAATTCGTGACTGGCCAAGTGGTAGCTGAAGAACCACTGGTCGAGGAACAACAACAACAAGTTGATGCTGAGGAACCATTGGTTGACAACCGAGTCGATGAGGAGGACAATGTGGACACAGCACAATCAACTTTGCGACGATCAAAGAGACGCATGGCAGCAATTGCATCTCAGAGGATCACAGAACAAATGAAGCCACGGCGAGCGGCAGAGCAACCTAGAAATAATACACATAGACGGGCGGCGGCCACCAAGAAAAAGTCGACAAAGGCGAAGGGCAAGACGACAAAGGCCAAGACGACAAAGGCCAAGGGCAAGCAGAAGAAGACTACGACACAACCTGTGACGGACACACAGCAGCAAACAACAGTTCAGACGACAACAACTCTTTCTGGACGGCGAGTCAGAAAGCCTGACCGGTACATTCCAGTCTAGGACAACAGGTAAGTAAATGGGCGACGATGGATTGTGGGGGACTACTAACACAATACAATACACAACGAGCAAGCATCTGATGGGGTGCAGGGCTATACAACAATTTTCTTTTACATATGCGGAGATGAATACAGTTGGTTCAATTGAAGGGTCACATTGAAGGTAGCCAGGTTTGTGGTTCCTGTGCTAGGCAGCCTCTATTGCAGAGTGCTTGTCCGAACGTCCTCCACGCGACGAAAGTCCAAAGTTAATACCCGTGACACCCGACAACCAACCTCTATCATTGTTGATGCTATGCTACAATCTTTTTAAAAAACACAATACAACCAAACATAAAACATAGACATAGAACAATAACACATAGTAGACAGTCTTTACTACAAACAAAAATCATGGCTTCATTCTTTATAGTACTAGTAGCTGTAGTTGTAGTTTACTTGCAAGTGGCAGTTCATAATCTTAGCAGCATCCATTGTACAGGCAAGCTCTGCATGTAAGCGGTCGAACATGTGCACTACGGTATGGGCTGTGGGCTGTGAGTCGAGTCGAGTCAGATAGATTGAATCGAATCATTCGATTCTATTCAAAGCCAATGTCAACGAATTTAACCTCTAGTAGACTAGTAGTCTAGCTAGTAGGGAGTCTGGCGTCACAGCCGAAAGCACTGGGTTTCCTTCAACTCGTAATCTGTATGGGTTCCCTGCGGGGAAGCCAGCTCAGAATGCAGAGTCCCGTTGGAATCTAGTAGTAGTACTGTACCTCGACGCCTGAGAGGGTCTTCTGTTGATGGTTCAAGAAGAGCAACGCTACAGCCGTACATCGTACTAAACTAGCTAGCTAGGTTAGATGAGCGTTTGAGTTAGGCAATCAAAACTGATGGCGAGCTATAGTGGACTATCGGTACTATGTTTACGACTTTTGTTCTTTTTAACTGTGCCAAGACTTGGAAAAGAGTGTACTACCTCTTGCGTAGAGGGTTCCAGTTTGGTGTCTTTTTATCCATACAAGTCTCTTATTGCACGGCGACGGACGAAGACGAGCACACGGGAAAGGGTTGCGGCTGTGGGTTACTCCGGCGACGTCGGTTCTGTTGCAACCGAGATGGATCGGTGGGTGGTACGTATACCATGTCAAACTTCTTCTTGGAAGAACTGGCGGTGGTGGTGGAACTGCTGTGAAAGCTGGACGCATCGGTCGAAGACGACAGAGATCCTGGACTGGACAGCAGATCGAGCGGTGGGGGTGGCACCGGTGTTCCACCAAAGGGAAGGTCTTGGGGGGCAATGTGAAACTCCTTGGTTACTACAGCGGAATCTTCCTTGACGGATTGGAGACCACCACTGTTGAGTGATCGAAAGGAATCTTGCGTGCTCAGAGTGCTGAAACTGGACTGTCGACTGCCCAATGTGCTGCAGCTTTCTTGTCGTTGCGGCATGCTGGGAGCGGCAAAGAGACTCATTGGTATGTTATTACTGAGATTGGAGTTTCGTGGTTGTGGTTGCGATGGTGCTTGTTGTGATGATCCAAAGCTCTTGTTGGAGTCTTGTCGTTGTGGCATGGCCATGGGCGTAGTGGCAAAGTTGGATCGAGGTTCCTCTTCGGGTAATTGTCCCAGTGTGGGTGGATACTGGAATGCCTTTTTCTTCTTGGCAGAAGCAGACGATCCCAACGATGAGTTGGACGATTGACGTCGGACTTGCAAGATCTGTGCCATGTCGGTACTGCCACAACTGCTCTGACGTTTGGGTGGTGATGGTGGAACGGGGCACACGGCTGCTGGTTTGGCCGCCGTAGTGGCTTGTTGTTGTTGTGGACAAGCATGATGCGCAAACTCGGCGCTCTTCCATCGCGAATCAGAGTGACCACTGCCAGATGGCAAATCAGACCAACCATGGCTCTTGCGCCACGTTTTGGAGTAGCGGCAAGGAAGATGAGAAATCGTGTCAGAGACCAGAGTGATGTTCGATTCAAAGCTAAGAGGGGTGGCACTGGATGTGTCGCTGTGGGCCATGGCGTCGTTCAGCAGGGACAAGATGAAGGATCGCTGTCCTTCTCCAGCTTGCTCCTTATTACATGCGCTACTAGTAGTACTCATGGTATTGCTGTTGTTTGTTGAGGGTTGCGTTCTCAAGAGAGAATATTAATGAGCCAGGGTAAAAGTCGGAAGTCCTCTTACATTCGCTCTCGCAACTAGCTAGCTAGCCAGCTTTGGCAAGAGTGCTGGTTGGCAGAAACAGCACTGGCCATTGACCAACGACCGTCCGAACCAGTTGAACAATCATGAACTCTTTTCGTGGCCTCATTTTCAGCAAACGGCCAAATTCGTTTCTTAATGGTCAGATCGTAATTCTTCAAAGCTGGATTTGGGTTCACTGTACAATTGTTGATACTGTAAAAAGATGTCTCAGCTTACTGCAGCGTTCTTACAACCGAACGCAGAAGAGGGACTGACCACTAGGTCTTCATCACCAGCACTACTATTCGGAAGGTACCGTACATGTATTGTACTACGGTTGCCGGTTTTTTGACCACTTTCGCATTCGGCTGTTTTACAGCATAAGTATTTGTACTCTAGCCAAAAGTATTTTAGTGACGCATTGTAACAGCAATGGGGTAGAATTACACCAGGTGTCACCAGGTACACCGGAACTGTACTAAAATAAATACAGAAAAGTCAGGGGCGGTATGGTATTAATAGCTGTTTTAGTACATATGACATACAAGTTTACATGTTACAAAAGGGGTGTCTCAGTCATAAGCCAGGAAACAATAATTACTGGGTCTCTTTCAGTACTCCAGCATCTTGGACCAAAGTCACCAAAGCCACAAAGCCCCTACATAATTTGGTCATGTCGGGACACTGATTTCTCCCCATAGATGCATCAGGGCACAACCATTCATGTTTTTATGGACTCGTTAATTCAGCACGATGAACACAAGACCCTTTCTGTTAATTCATTCCCTTTTTTGCAGACGATGCTTTCTCTATTGCTTTTACAACTATGACTTTGGTCATTCTTTTCACTCTTTCAGTCACGAAAAACTCAAGCATTAGCAGTAGCCTAGCTAGCAAGATCTAGCTGCCTACCAGTACGGTAGCTACAGTGTAGTAGCTACAGAGTGGAGTAAGTACGTATAAGCATGCACTCCAACAAGGTTTGGCTTCGAAGGCGTGTGTTCAAAGGCTTTACTTGTTTGCCAGTTTGCGCATCCATGCTCCAATGTAGACTACTATTATTAATTAATAGCTACTCGAGTAGCTAGTTTGGCTAGAACGCGAGGGCCATACAAGCTGGCTAGCTAGCTGCTGATAGCTACTGACTTCCCTTGAGACTTGAGAGTAGGTTGATGGCACTGTAGTAATCGTGGACAGGCAGATCTCAGAGTCCGGGCGTGTCGGGACCCACGAGCTCGAGACGGCAGCAGACAGCAGCAGCTCCAACCAGTGCTGGATCCACTTGACTGAGTACATACATGTAGCTACACTAGATAGTGCCGCTGCTCCTGGAGGTTCTTTACACCAGATAACATCATTGTTATTTACACGTACAGTACTCCAAGAAGCGGATGTTTGTGTTCCCTTTTTGCAAATGAAGCAATGGCTATTTTGCCAAAAACCGTCCTCACAAGCCATCAACTGAGGCAGTACAGCAGTGTTTACACCAAGAGATAGATCGTGATTTCACTGGTCGATAATAAGGCCAATACATGGACCGATCGACCAGACTTGGATTGTGGATTGGCAAAGAGCACAATGGAGAATCAGGCGGAACGCAAAATCGATCCAGTCTGGGCTGGTTGTGCTGCGGAAGAATGCTCTCGCTGGACCAGCAGCTCCGAAAGTGCAGCCAATCTGGTGCCAACAACTACAGCCATGTAATGCATGGCTGGTGTTGTGAACAACCAGGTACGTAGCCAGCCAGCTAGACGCCTGGGTTCCCTTTTGCTACAGTGTGCCCCCATTATCAACTCCCACCTCCTTTGTCGTCAGGTCTGGTGCCCCAGAGCTATCCCGGCTGACTTGACTTCTGTGCTGAACTCACCTCACTTCCATGGCAAGAAGTACTTCACCAATAGGCTGGCAAGCAATTAGTACGGCACGTACTTTGCATGTCCCCATTGCTATTGACCACCTTCACATCCCAATAATAGATCCATGAAATAAATGAAAGCAAAGGTCGTCACAACATCACAAACAACACTGCCGGGGTGCGCCATACATGAAGGCGGGGATCCACACTGTTCCCTCCGTGCATCTTCCGTCGCAATCAATCGGTGAGCATTGACTGGCACTGAAAAGAGCAAATATCTGTCCCAGTCTGGTCATTCTTCAAAACCACATGTGATGGTGTTTGTGACATTGGTGGTACCTACTCTCACCAGCAGAAAACTGACTGACTGTTAGCAATACAAACGAAGCTGCTGACCCAACCAGTAGTGCAAGCAGTAGGATCAGTGCCGAAACCAGCCCCCGCTTGAGCTGGCTGCAAGCTCAGTTCAATATCCATTCCATCACAGGCAGTACATGCAGTTGGACTCGGACAGGGTAGATTGACAATTCGTGTGTCTGTGCCATCACAGCACTACGGTACTATCCAAACTCACAGCCTGTGCTGATCCCGCCCCAAGGACACACACCACAGGCACAATTGCGGACACGCGTTGCTATTTGGAACTAGGTGTTTCAGCAGCAGAACGCTGCAGACACAATTGTCGGATTGTTGAAAGTCAAACCAACTTTGGGCTCAGGTTGCACGAGATTGTGTTTGGTCCAGCACTGAACTTAGTTGGATGGGTGCAGGTCACAAGTACAGGCAGTGGGATCACTGCCGAGTTGACTGCAAAATTCATTTGCTTGTTCTGTATTTGGCAACAACAGGTTGGTCAAGCCCCCTGCAAAACTGAACTCAGTTGAAGGCAAATTTGCTTTGGTTTTGTGTACGAAAGGGCACTTTGGACGGGTGCATCATGACCAAAAAAGTAAACTCTTCTGGGGGCGCGACCGCTACAACAGCAGGAAGAAAGATTGCAGTAATGAGAATCCAGTTTTGGGTGTGCGCAGAAAGAGGACTCGTCTGAGAAATTGACTCTTTGTCGTTGTCTTCGTGTCGCGTCGCGTTGCGTCGAAATGGTGGTGGTTAGATTTGGATTGTCAGAAGCCGACGCCCATCGAGCGGTTGTAGCCCCACTTTCGACTGCTAAAGCAACCGGAACGGGGGCATCACCATGTGCTCTTTTAAAGATGTCATTGAGGGATCTATTGGGCCGATTCTGCAGATCGTCTGTGGTTCATCGTGATGAATGCATCCGATGGTGCCGGCCAATGTGTTGTGCAGGCTTGGTATGGGTAGCTGTGGTAAATTCATGGGTATTCTTGGTTATTAGACTGCTCTGAATATTTCTTTCAAGCATTTGTTTTACCGCATCTCCTGTTTTTCAAGTTCTGACGTCATACTAGTGAAAGGCATAATTCTCCCGGAATCTCGCATTCAAAGGTGATCCAGTTATTAGCGGAACGACAGCATTGCTGCGTCGTCGAATGGGATCAACAAAGTCAGGTTTTCTTGCAAAGGCCCCACTTAACCAAGCTTCTCGCAAAAACCTCATTTTGAAATTTCAGGATAAGAGACTTTCCCATCCTTCCCTTGCCTGGTCCGGGTAATACGACTCTGGAACGATGAATGGGGGCTAAAATAGCATTTTGACATACCGCAAGACAGCAGCAATCGGTGTGGGAGAGTCGTGCTCACAAATTCGACTAGGCAACAAGTCTTCTTGCGACTACCATAAAACTCGAAACCATTTGCATCAAATACCGAAAGAGTGCATTCCGTCATGAAACGCAGCAAGATGGCGAAGGAAGAGCCAACAGCGGAGGCCCACAAGGAAGACAGTAGCAGCAACAAATCCGGAACGACGAACAAGAAGGCGGCTGCCAATGCTGAGGAAGTCCCTCATTTGAAGGAGGAAGACCCAATTCGCCGTCGCCTTTGCGGTACCAACCTGAATCTGTGGCTTTGGAGTAAACAGGAGGAGGCAAAACTTGAACATGCAGGCTCTCGCTTGTTGGAGCTAATGGCAAAGTCCGCAGACCAGGTGGAAACAGTTGATGTTGGTGCTGACTTGTGGACCCATTTGCCGGCGGAAGATGCCACGAAGGTATTGGAAGCCGTCGCTGAACTTCCAAAGCTGAAATGGGTCCGGTTTTCCTTGCTAGGTGCGTCTTCGCAGTCAACAGAAACACCCGAAAGGGCTTCTCTTCCCATCAAGGTATTGGCACGTATTGCTTCCCACGCAACGGAACTCGAGCATCTTATATTGGAGGACGTTGTGCTCGATGGGACTGCAGCAGATTGGAGGGACGTCATTGATGGCCTCCAATCGCTTGCCGTCATGGCTCATATTCGTCTAGAGAAGTACTCTTTCACTGACAACTCCATTGACCTTGGAGGCCTGGTCACGGTTCTATCATCGCTTCCCAATTTCACCACGTTAGAGGTATTTGCCCCTGAACCTCCGCCCTCTTTCAAGTCCCAGGGTTATCACCTCCCCGCAATGGCTCTGGAATGCCTTGTTCGTGCCAGCAAGTCGGTGCAAGTACTGCGGCTGAGCGGTTTGGACGTTAGAGATGAGCACTTGAGCAAGTTGGTCGGGCCGCTCTCGGATAAGAAACAGACTCTCAAGGAACTCTTGATTTGGAGAGCTGAGATCACAGAAAAGGGTGCAGGCTCTCTTGCCGATGCCCTGAAGACCAACACTTCTCTCTTAAAACTGAATCTCAATGATAATGACGGCATGGGTTCTCGCGGATGCCAGACTCTCTTTGAGGCTGTCTCTGGAAGCAACCTTGAGGAACTGTGTGTGGGTTATTGCCACCACATGGACACTGAGTGCAGACAAGCTTTGTTGAGTCTTGTTGCCAGCAACAACTGTTCCCTCAACGGCAAGTTGAAGAGACTGGAGACTTGTTTCTCGTGGCCTTTGGAAACGACTGTGCAGTATGTCGCGGAGTTCGGAGACAAGTTGGTCCACTCTTTGCGGGATCCTGATCAGGTCCTCATGTTTCTCCGCCTTTATTGTGACCAGCGCCATGGAGATGATACCAAAGAACTCCATTGGGGAAGTTTTTGGGAGAAACGTCCTATTGAAGACGATGCGGACGAGAAGGAGGAATAAGTTGATACTGCAACGGAGAAAGTTCACACGCAATGGAAGAAGGACCACAAAAATGCAGCCCTGTGATTAGGACGCTGTTCATAACTTTCTATAGCATCTACTGATAACTGTGCAACCCACCCTGTTACAAAAGGAATTTTGTGCATGTAGTGTCACACACGAGATGACGTTGAGAAACTCGACTCTGGAATGACAATGAGCTATTGAATGGTCATACCGAGCTTTTCCCTATGGATACCAGTAGTGCTAGGCAAAAGATGACGCCGTCCACACAAGTATTGATTCAATGCAGGTGCTCCCATTGCTGTTGCCATGCATTGGGCTCTGCTATCGATGGGTGTACGGATCCTTCGCGGGGAACATTTAGTCTTGCGGGTGCCTACACCCGGACTGAGTACCAGGTACTGCACCCTAGATAGTCCATCTCCAAGCGAAACACCTCGTCCCATACCGTACCGACATGAGCACCAGCGCCAACTCCACACGTACCGGTAGAGATCATTTATTTGGACGCAGCCCAAGCAATTGCATCATGGAGAACGTGCCAAATGGTACACTGTACCGGTATGCTGTGAAAACATGTCAACTGTGACTGGACTAACCAGCACACTCTCAGGAGTTCTCTTTCGTATTGAAGTTCAAGTGTTTGTTTATGTCTTTTTCGAGCGTGCGCGGATCCATCAATGAAAAGCTAACTCCCGAGAAAAAACTGGGACTGGATTCACAAGATCCGCGGATGCTTGGCTTCGCCTCCCTCGCCTCACAAAAAGCAAAAACACAAACACAAACACAAAACAAAAACAATCAACCAAAAAACATTCTTCAACATGAAATCTTCTGGAATTGTCTCTCTTATGCTATCATCATGGCTTTCCATGCCTGTTGTGCTGGCCTACAACCGCCAGCAAGTGCAAAATGATCTCAACAGAGAAAGGACAAAGTGGGAGAGCATGGGAATCACTGATTATGATTACAAGCATCAAGTGATCAGTGATACCTCGAGTGCTGTCTATCCATTTTCAACTCAAGTTCGTAATGGGGGTGTCATCTCATATATGGATGGCAACAACCAACCAATTACTTGGCTCAAGCCAGTCACAATGGGGAGCTGGTTCGGTTTCATACAGACACACCTGGATAGTGGAGCACAAAGCATTCATGTTATATATGACCCAACAAGGGGATTTCCAGTCTCCGTTGACATGATCCAGACTGGTGGGCAGGTGATGAAGGTGCGCATCTTTGACTTTGCCTACTACCACAACAACTACAATCCTGCAGTGGTCCAAGCAAACCTTGACAGGGAAAGAGCCAAATGGCAGAGCCAGGCTATTTCTAACTATGACTACATGCATGAGACACTGAGTGACAACACTGGCTCAGTCTATCCCTTTACAACTCAAGTGAGAGGCGGATCTGTTGTTTCCTACGTTGATGGAAACAACCAACAGATCACATGGCTCAAACCACAAACGCTGGACGCCTACTTCACCCAAATTCAAAACTACTTGAACATGGGTGCATCTTACATTGAAGCTGAGTATGACTCGAAGAGAGGTTTTCCTACCCGTGTCTATATTATCATGAATGGTGCAGAAGTTTTCCACGCAAGAGTCATCCACTTTCACTATTATGTCCGAAGACTCCGTGGCAGTGATTCTCAGTAATTCTGAAACCGAAAGCAAGTTCTTGTGGCTGTTGGAGGCATCCATTGTCTGTGACGCCATCTCTTGAGTTAAACTAGAAGCTTGATTTTAAAAGCATGTGAATGGAGTTAGGGCGTTCCATTTAGACGCAAAGGCACCCAATCGTTGCAACCGCTCGGCTGAGTTCCACGGAGGAAGATCCGGAAACGACCGCATGCTTCAGGGAGGCATACGAACCGTCCAAAAGGGAATCCGAGCTGATACTTGCTTCTAGCTATATTATTTGGTTTGGTTACGACCGTCGCAGCAGTGACCTTGTCGGTCTACTTCAAGCGAGAGCAAAAACGCTGAAGGTTGTTGCTCATCTATTATTGAATCTCCCTACTCTAAACCCCCCTTGTGGACCAAAGACACTGCATGAGCAGATTGAATCATTTGGATCGAATGAATCGAATGTCCCATCCATCATTGCTGGAAGATGCGCCACGAGGCTTGGAGAGTTTCCAATCCCACACGTTTCACCAATCAAGATGTCCTCGCCCTTTTCCGAAGTACTTTTTGCCTTGACGATATCTTCTGGTCACATTCCAAAGCAACTTGTTTTGCCTTAATGAAAGAAGCAAATCGAAAATGAAGAAGACTACCAGCAGCCCGATTGCAGAGCCATCTGCAAAACTGAACCGCGAAGCCCTGATGGGGCGCCCTTTGGACGAGAGTTGGGGCGTGAACCCTCCCGAGTTGCTGCATGAGCACAGGGTGGCCAACGGCTCCATCATTCGCGCTCGGTTTCCACCGGAACCCAACGGTTACCTCCACATTGGCCATGCCAAGGCCATGAACATGAACTTTCCCCTGGCTTTTGAGAAACTAGGGGTGGACGCGTCGAATCGCGCACCATTTTCCGATACGACGATACCAACCCTGAGGCGGAATCCAAGGAATACATGGAATCCCTGCGTAGAGACCTTGATTGGTTGGGATGGAAACCTGAACGAATCACACATAGTTCCGATAACTTTGAAGTCCTCTACGAGCTTGCCAGCAAGCTGATCAAGAAGGGTCTTGCCTATTGCTGTGACATGACAAAAGAGGAAATTGTGGCTCAGAGGGAATTAGCCAGGAAGCGAGCTGCATCCAAGAACCCCGACCTCGAGTATCTCATCCTATCTCACGACTTCTACCTGGCCGGAATAGAGACTTTTGATAAAATGAAGAAGGGCGCCTATGACGAGGGAACCTGGACTCTGAGGCTCAAGATGGACTTTGAATCTCCCAACCCAAACATGTACGATTTAGTGGCTTATCGCATCAAATACACGCCTCATCCGCATGCCACGGACAAGGAATGGTGCATCTATCCATCCTACTGTACGACTTCACCCACGGAATCTGCGATGCTTTGGAGGCAATCGACTTCAGCATCTGTACGCTGGAATTTGAATCGCGTCGGGAAGTGTATTACTGGATTCTTGCCAAGTTGGACTTGTACCGACCCAGAGTCTTCGAGATGGTACGCTTAAACCTTCAGTATACTGTGATGAGCAAACGAAGGCTTCTTAGACTTGTGATCGATGGACATGTCCATGGATGGAGCGACCCAAGGATGCCTACCATTGCTGGCTTCCGTCGACGAGGCTATACCAAAGAAATCATCAATGAGTTTTGCAACGACCTTGGCGTTTCGAAGGCTGCGAATGTGATTGAATACGAAAAGTTGGCCAGTGTTGCCCCTAGGAAGCTGGAGAAGACATCCCTGCGAGCCATGGCGTGTCTTAAGCCCGTCAAGGTGGTTCTCTCCAACTGGGACGATGTCTCTTGCAAGGATTCTATGACTTTTGGAGTGGGAAACAATCTCGCTGATGGCAACATGGGTCACATCTCATCACACTCACAAACCCAATCTACATTGATGCATCAGACTTTGGCTTGCATGATTCCAAGGACTACTTCAGACTGGCTCCTAAAAAGGCAGCTGGCTTGAAGTACCACGGAGGAACTATCGTTTGCGACGAGGTCGCCTCAAGATGGATGGAGACAATGTTGTCGAGTTGGTCTGTCGGTTGTGTCGTTGGAAGGACAAGGATGGACCCAAACCGAAGAGCTTCATTACGTGGGTACCCTCTGATTCCCTGCCTGCAGACATCCGTGTCTATGATCACTTGTTTACCACAGTCGAGCCATCATCATCTGACGATTGGGTGGACGAAATCAACAATGAGAGCGAGGTGATCTATTCAAAAGCGTTTGTGGATCCGAGCGTGGCTGATGTCGTCGACTGCCGCACGATCAACAGCTGAAGCTCCAACGTTGGATTCCAGTTTGAACGGATTGGATACTTCGCAGTAGACCCCGAAACAACGTTTGACCCCCGAAGCCGCAATGGAAATCTTTTTTTCAATCGCACCGTGTCCTTGCCTGGCGAAGGTGCCATGAACAAGGAAAAACGATCCAAACAGGAGGAAGGGGCGATGGCCGCGCATCGTGCAAAGCAACTGGCCGATCTCGCCAGCAAAGAGGCGAGGAAGAAGATTGCTCCCGTGGACTTGTTTCGCTTGGCAGCCGAACACGAAGGGCTCTATTCCAAGTATAATGTGGAGACTGGAGTTCCCACCCACGATGCTGACGGCAAGGAGCTTTCCAAAAACGCGAGAAAGGCTCTTGCCAAGAAACAGGCGAAACACGCGAGTAGAGATTACGAAGGCAATCGAGACTACTGCATGTAGCTTGTAGCGTAATTGTTTATGAAGAAAATGGCTTATGAAGAAAATGAGTGTGAGTGTGACGTTGTCAGGTACCGGTAGGAACGTCTGTGAGTTGCTGCATTGTGGGGCCCTGTAGCTAGCATGCTACCGATGCACGCTCCCAAAAGATGTCTGAGGAATGTTCAATTGCTGCCTAGCCCACAACGAACACTTCCTCCCCGATCTAGCAACCACTCTGTTGTTAGGACTGCGGCAGTGTGCCTTGTCGCTTGAAGGCCATCAAACTCAAGTACCGATACTATCGTAGTACGGTGATACGTTT